GCTCTCAGCTCRGAGCAGGGCAACCAAATCAACAGGGTAGTTGCCCTGTGTGCTGAGCCACTAGCCAGCCCAAGGACACTCCAGTTGGGGATGGATGGGAACCTTGGGAGGCAGGCATTACTACGGAGACTGAGATCTGCTTTTCAAACATATCACTAGAAAAAGAATTTCTCAATCTGGGCACTCTGGATATTTTGGACCACATCATTCTTTTGTGTGGAGGACTGTTCTGTCCATTATGGGATGTTTAGTAGCATCATTGGTCTCTGCTCACTGCACCAAAATTATCTCTAAACAATATCAAATGTCAGGGGTGGCGGGGGACAAAAGTCACACCGGATTGAGAACAACTGTCCTTGAGGTACAGTTATCTGTTTTCCTCTTCAAGTAAATACCTTGGCAGGGTGAAAGGACAGAGGCGGGCAAGAATTCAAAAGAATTCATAATAATTCTGCTGAAGCATTTTTGGAATTTTCCTCTTACTCTTGGAATGTCCATTTCCAAACATTATGCTCTAGGACTCAGAGCCCTGAATCTCATGTTTATAGTCTGTGGCTATAACTTGGATTCATGGAATTTTAGAATTAGAAAAGATTTTAGAGATTAGTTCATTTTATTTATTTATTTATTTTTTCAAGTCTACCATTTTATTTGTTTTTTTTAAAATTCTTTAATGGGGTATCTTTTTTATTATTAGTTGTTCAAAACATTACAAAGCTCTTGACATATCATATTTCATACATTTGATTCAAGCAGATTATGAACTCCCATTTTTACCCCGTATACATATTGCAGATTCACATGGGTTACACATCCACTTTTTTACATACTGCCATACTAGTGTATGTTGTATTTAATTTAATTAATTACCCTATTCTTTTGGTACCGGGATTGAACCCAGGGGCACTTAAACCACTAAGCCACATCCCCAGTCCCTTTTTGTATTTTAYTTGGAGAGAGGGTCTGAGTTATCTAAGACCTCCCTAAATTGCTGAGGCTGGCTTTGAACTCATGATTCTCAACCTCCTAAACCACTGGGATTACAGGTACACCCAGCAGTTCATTTTAAATAATTGTGTAATTTACCAAATATCTGTACTCTTCCAAACTCTGAGTATTACAGATTTATAGATGTTTATCACTAAAGGATATTAGAGCTGTACTAGAGAGATATGACCAGGTTATCCCATTGTGAAGTATCCCGAGCAGTGTTATAGGCAAAAAAGTTAAAAAAAAAAAAAATGGAGATCACTGCCTGTGGGTGTGGGTGCAGTTTGGGTGAGAACACTACTTGAAAGGATTACATTCCTAATGATTTAAACAAGCACACCCGGAGGAGTTATGATCCTGCTCATAGCGGGAGACCAGGTCTGGGGTAGTTGGGTATGTATAGTAAAAATGGCTCACTGATATTAGCGCTGGCTGCCATCACTATATTTTTATGAAAAAATAATCCCAGTTCTATTGCTTGGCAAAGAAAACTTGTTTCATTGACACAGCATTTCTTCCTCCTACGAACACATCCTCTATCCATTTGCCTGAGATGGTCCACTTAAGTAAACGGAAACTGAAGGGAAGCATCTAGAAGACAATCAGTCAGCTGATGCTTATCCATTTTTCATAAACCTCAAGACTATCTCTTCCTAAACAAAAGAAGGACCGTCACTATGGCATGGAACATGGWGGTAGCTCACTTGCTCCTTTGTCCTGGAATAAAGGACGTTAACCAGGCAGGGGCTTCCGGGAGCTTCTTTACTGGGGTGAGACTCACTGGAAAAAGCCCTCCCACCTCCACCCCCTTCCCACCCTCCTTCCCCATCACCACTCTGGGCAGGGGGTTGGGTTGGAGTTGACATTAATCAGCGAATTTGGAGCCTGCAGCCAGTCAGCTGAGAAAGGATAAGTGTCACTAAAACTAGYCATTCTGGCCACAGATACAAAGCCCACATCTCTCAGCAGTCCAGCAACAAAGCTGACAGACTCTAATTTCCTTTGTTTTCAGTGCCCATTGATTTTCGAACCCAGTAAGGTGCTATTAGCCTTGGGTTTGAACTCAGGAAAAGGGTGCTTAGGCCAACAGTAAGACTAGGGTTAGCATGGTTTCCATACCCATGTGAGAACACAGGCCCATTCACACCTCCTCCTGCCATTAAATGATCAAAGCCCTGTTAAACCTCAATCTCCACATGCAGATACTCACATGCTTTGCTCTCACAAATGGGGAGAATGCAGCACTGACAATATTGACACTACTAATTACCTCATAAGTTTAAAGGAAAACAGCTTTTACATTCAAGAGGAGGTTCTCCTAGGTGTCTAGTTCTAGCTCTGATGTTGGCTTAGATGAGTTACTTCACCTACATGGAGTGGTCCTTCCCTCAACCATTGAAGTCTCCATGGTAGTGAGCAGAGAAGGGGAATTCTAGGAGGTTCTGTATGTTTGGTTCTAGTTTTTAACATGTTATTGACAAGAGAAAAAACCCTCTGAAGACAGCAAAATGGAGAACCACTAAATCTGTGACCTCCAGGTGCTAAATGCAAACATTTATTAATTCTATGCATTCCTTATAGAGTGAGACATCATGGTCTGTAGAGTTTCTTAAGGAATTTAATTTAATGGAATGATAGGAACAACTGCAATTAAAATATAATTGTGTGTATGTAAATATGCTTAGGGGAGCTTTAATAGAGATTATGGTTGCTACATTCACCCAGAATTTTAGCCTACATTATTAATTTGCACTAGTAAGAAGAAAGGGTTTGTTAATCAAAGATAAAGTATACCAGTGATTTTGAATTAGTGAACTCCAAATTATGGTAAGATAATGAGGCAGTACTGTGCATATATATATAATTCTCTGCTAAGTGAAAAGCTTTCCGGCTGGCCACATAGGAGGTCTCCTTATTGAAAGATTTATTTTTAATTTTGAACAGCTTCCCAGCATTACCCCTTCAGGAAAATTAAAATAAGGAGATGGAATTTGGTCCTATTCAGCAAACCTCCCAGCAGGATTGCTTGCCATGGCTGAGAAAAAAAGTTACAAAGTGTCAGGAGAATTACCTGACCACTTTTCTGCTAGATCTATAAGTATTACACCTATATTATTTAAAAAAAAATTCTTATTCCCCTACCCTCTGTAGAGATATTATCATACATATTCCTCTTTTGCAGGATTTTTAGCCTGTCTTTATGTTCTTTGGACCTTGTAGCATGGTGGGAGTTGACACCCATCATCTCTTGGCTTGAATCCTTACTTACACTAAGAATCATGGAATTCTCCCCTAAAATCAGTGGGAGTCAATCCTGCCCTGAGAACATTTCACAGGGCTTTTCTCTGCCAAAGGGAATGATTTCAGGCTTCAGCTGACATAGCAGAGGCTTCAAATTTCCACTCCTCGTTTTAATTCAGTTAAGAAGACAACATTGTCATGTGTTTGAAGATACCCCAAAAGTTATCATAAGGGACCTGAACATAAGAATATTGACTGACTCATAAATCCAACTCWGTATAACCTGCAAAAATTGTTCTGCACTATACGGGTCCTCCTGACTCAGAGACACCAAGGGCACCAATGCATAGTCCCAGGTTCTGGGTGTGATATTCCCACTGCATCCTTCACAAGAGAATGAAGGACTGGCAATCACAAATTGCTTGTGATGCCATCAAATCCTCCTAAATTATCCTAGTCTTTGTAAGAAAAGTGAAACTAGTGACCAGTAACAGTGTGCACAGTCTCAAAGTTCAGAATTCAAGACAAAAGCTTAGCCAGATGACTTGTCCATAGCACRTATTAATAAGGACCATTTCCATTTGAACAGATGAAGAAGCATTCCGGTAAGATTAGCCTTTCTAACTCCCATTCAGAATTTCTCCCAAGTCTCTACTTTTTATGTATGCTAGAAAATTCGAAGCAAAATGGAAAAATAATGGCTTTGAATTGGGACTCTGGAGTACTTTTCAGTATAGGATCAATTAATACAGATATTTTACTGAACTGTGAAGTGCACTTACTGACACATTCATTTAAGAGAAGAGTGCAGTACAATAGGATTGCTGGCAATTTGTAATTCTTTTCTGGCTGTTTGTTGCTCGTGATAGCCTTACAAAAGGATAAGCCATAGTAGTGGTTTGGGGGTGGGGTTGTTTTGGGGTTTGTTTTGCTGTGGTTCCTCCTCTTAAACTCTTCAGGAATAACATASGAAACAGATAGTAGTGTAGAAACTTTTTCATGGGAGGAATATAGATGAGTGGACAGGATCCAGAAGCTAGAAAGCTAGATTTTGAAAAATACATGACATTCAGATTTCTATGAGAGTTCTGTGATCAACTCAGCAGAGACACTTGAAGAACAGAAATGCTTCCTAGTCATCTGCATTGATGCAGGGAATGGGGTGGACTAGCAGCCCTCTTGCCCCATGTTGAACACAGATTCAGATACAAAAATGGTTGTAAAACTCCTCTGTGTCTTAAGGCAAATTTTGTTAAGCACACCAAGATCTACATGGAGACTCAAATATTGGTCCATGTAGATTATTCCTAACACTTTACATTAAAGAATAAGATCAAAGCTCTAACAGCTAGTGCTTTTGTTGGAAAATGCAGCAAATACCAATACAGCATTGGTATTGGTAAAATCAACATTATTATCATACATAATCTGTACTTGCTCCAACATCCAGCCACACTGAACTTTCTGAAGTCCATTGTGGAGGGCCTTGGCCCCCTACTGTAGCCATTATCATTCAATCAGACACTATCTTATCTTTCACTTTATCTCCACCACCTGGGACAGAAACGTGCTATACAGTTATGTCCCCAAAACCCTGTTTGCTGAATGATTCGATGTCCTTCTACATATCTTTTGTATTGAAACATAGCTTCCAAGTTTTTAATGGGTTCCACTTCAATTGCAGAACTTTAACATAATTTATGGTCACCACCATAATCCTTTTCACATTGTACATTCAGATTAGGAAAAAACAAGGATCTTATTCCTACCTGCTTGGTTGGTTGTCACGGTGACGGAAACTGATTGGTCTGGGCTAGGGTTATACTTGGACACACCATTCACTGCCCAGATTTCAAACGTGTAATTGGTATGTGCCAGGAGGTCGGTGATTGAGACTTTGGTGGTCTTCAGGCCATTCTGCTGTGGGGTGTAGTGGACCCCACTCCCGCAGGGTCGGCACTTGCTGGGGTCACCGGCTCCACACTTCTTACAGACGACATTGTAAGAAATGTCCTGACGACCACCTGTGTTCTGAGGACTGCTCCACTCCAAGTTCACGGATGTCTCGTTGACATTGGAAATCAAGTTGAGTGGAGCAGATGGTGGGCCTGGAGAAAGAAAAATATATCATTGCACCAAGAACTGAAATACCATTTTGGAATCTCTCTGAGTTTGTATTATTCTCTACAGTTCTAAGAAGTATGATGGGCCCATTTGGCAAAGAAAGTGAAAGGCAAATAAAGCCCGAAAAAAGAACTTTTAAAAGAACAATATAATAGAAGGCTGTATGTGCCGTTCTCATTCCTATGCAAACAAACAGAGCACCAACTGCCACTTAGAGACATGAAGAAATTCTACCGTAAATGGGGTCCACACCCAGGGGTTCTCTATCAATTGGCAGGAAAATAGCATCATCTATCTAGTCTCCATGTAATCTTCTGAAAAACAGGTATACAACTGTGATTCTAGCTTCCAGGACTGCTATGAAGCTTGGTAAATTAATAGTTATAAACCTTTCTTGAAGACAAATTATGATTCCTAAGTATAGTATATCATCAATAGCAAATTAAACTAATAGATTTGTGTAGATACGCCTCTGCAGTTCATTATGGCAGTTGAGGTTGAAGCTGTTTGTGGGTAATTAGTAGAAACTGGTTTAACACAGTTACAGAGATTTTGAAGATACAGCTGTTGAGAGCTCTCAGAGGTAGGCAGAGACTGTCCAAGGCTTCCAGACACCTCCTTCTGCTCTTCAACTGATCAGGACTGCACCCTGCACCAAATTATTTTTTCAGCTTGCTTATTTCCAGTGCACAAGATGGTGATGGTCATTATGAAACAGAACAACTAATGGCTGACCACTTCACRGTTGATTTAAAAATAATAATAAAAGACWATAGACTTTATATGCCCACAAACTGTGTTATAAATTGCTGTCAAAAAGAAGCAGACTGGGAGAAGAAAGAAAGAATTTTCTTGGTCTAACCTAGTTTCAAAAGTATATATATATATAAAAAAAATTGTCGCATTCTATTGAAAAATATATAATCCTTGTGACAGTTGGGAAGCTCTTTCTCATTTTGATCTTCCAAGGGAAGAGCCAAAAGAGTTTCAATGAAAATTTGAGGTTTCTTTACRGGGACGACTAATATCTTTGGAACAATGGCTACCACGGAAATTTCACTTGTTCCTCAGGAGAAACAAGTTGACTGGAGAGGCCTGTATGCTCCCGAGGGTTTACCTAGCAAACCACAATGAAACAGATGGTTCCAAAGTAGCCTTGGAGAGGGAACTGGAGAGGCAACCTGTGAGCAGGAGTCATAGTTATTAGCCGGCAGTGATCAACAGGGATAATGGATTTAGCTGATAACATTCATACAGGAAACTCACTCTTCTCTCTTCACACAGCTTAATTGAAGACTCTATTTTAATAAAATAAAAAAGCTCTCCCAACTCCCATTGGGCTAATTACCAACAACCTCTTTTAGCATTAAGACTGGCGCTTCATCCTTCAAAAAAAAACCTGAAAACTTTTTAATGAACTTTGCAAAATGTATGCTAAATGTAAGCCTACCTCACAGAAGTCCTCAGAAAGGAAATACGACATTTATTTCTTGTTGAGCTTTCAAAACTGTATTTATGGTCTTTAGCATGGTGGTGAGAGTACAATGAGGGTAAATAAATGGTTCCTGAATGAATGAATGAATGAATGAATGAATGAACGAAGTTATTTAACATCACAGTCTCTGTAAGCCAGATAGAATGCTAAAGATCTTTTGGTCAAATACCCTCATTGTAAAAATGAGGGACCTAAAATCAGAATGGATCTGATAACAGCAAAAGTTCATGCAGGCTGATTTGTAACAGAATTTGATGAAAATCTAAGGGAACTGTCTCCTCCTCTGGGGTTATTCCTGCTCTACCATGTATCGCCCACTAAAGGTACAATGATAATATAATCAGAAGATTTGCCTGAAGTTTGAAGAGTCAAGGCAGGAATAAGAGCACACACATCTTCAACCCTTCTCAAATTCTGTCACACTTGCGGCGGTGGTCGAAGCCATGCCGAGACTGCAGCTGAAGCTGGCTATGGCTTGGTTTATAAAATGGGTCAGCCCCCGGTTCTTATTTTGCTGTGACTTTGAGGGTTAAATAAGAGTGACTCTGAAATCCATTAACCTCCTTGCCAAGGTTCCTGGTCCACTTTCACATGGGAAAATGTGACACAATGAATCAAGAGCTGCAGAAGCAAAAAGTCAGTAATTAGTATGTAGGACGGGGCACGGCAGTGTCTAAACAGAGAAGAAATGGAGCAGAAAACTAAATGGTCACAGGACTCGGAGATATAACACTGCCACGTGGAAAACAAAACACAAAGATGCTGCAGGATTTCAAAATGGGGGGTTGATTGGAAAACAAGAGCTGGCCTGGAGCTGCCTTCTTTCAGCAGTGACTCTTGAAGACGAGCTTGGGGCAAACGTTCCAGGAAAGATTTGAGAGAACTGGGAAAGTTCAAGTTCAAGGTTGCCACCATGAATGGTCCAGAAATTGGACTGCATATGTTTTATGTTTTGCTCTTACAGAAAGTGATACTTATATGGGAACATAGTAGCAGCCTAATAACTGGAGTATGACAAAATCATATAATAGAGGAGAAAATGAAATATAGAAATGTCCACCCTCTATGATGATAATGTTGCCCAGAAAAGACCTGAAAAGACCATGTTTTACAAATTAAAATCATAACAATGGTGTTTTGTGTTTGTGGAATTATGGYTTCTTTTTGTTATTGTTGTTTGTTCTGTTTTGTTTTAAACTCTTCTTCATTAAAAGATAATAAATAAGTAAGAAATGGGCTTCTTATTTCTAGTGAGGGGCTACCTCTTCCCCAGAAAAGAAAATATTATCTTCCCAAGATGAACAGAAAAAGGCATAGTCTCAAAAACAGACAAAAGTCAATCCAGGTCCACAGTTACACTTAACAGTAGCACAATTACCTGCGACAATGGGTAACAACAAGAGAAAACAGACATTCTGAGAAACCTCTCTTTCAATCAATATAAGGCATCTAGAAGAAAAAACTTTCCCTCAAATTATTTTCTCTTTCATTCATGTTAATATTGTATCTGGATATTGAAGAGGAATCAAATTTCTAACACGGATGACTGCCTTTCTCATCAGAAAGATGCTCACCTGCAAGAAAGTCTCCAGTTACAACCACAGAGGGGCCCTCCGTAGCCACACGTTCCACCTCCACAGATTGAACCAGCTCATCAAAAATATTTTTTTAAATATACTTCTGTACTGAGATGTACAGACATTTTTTTCTTATTATTTTCTAAGTAATATGGTCTATTTACATAGTACTTACATTGTACTAAGTAGTACAGGTAACCTAAATACGATTTAAAGTACATGGGAGGAAGAGGAAAAGGGAAGGGAGTGGAAATGAGATTGATTGTATTGTCATATACATGTCCTAATATGGCATAATTAATCCCACTGCTATGTACAATTATAATGCACAATAAAAATATCTTTAAAAAAATAAAGGGCATGAGACAATGGCCATAGGTTATATGCAAATACTACATCGTTTTATATAAGGGGTCTTGAGCATCCTTGGATTTGATATCTGCTAGGGTCCTGGACCCAATCCTGCAACAGCATAGAGGGAAGAGTGTATGAGGTTTAYAGCAAAGAGAAATAACTTAGTTATTTCTGAGTTTCTAGTCTCTATGTCTTCCTCTTACTTCCTGAGCACACATTGACATTAGGTAGCTCAAGGGTCCTTACGAGGAGCAAGGTTTTACGCTTTTCAAAACTATCCACCACCAGCCTGAATCTAAGTCTGGCAGCAAATCCTGTTTAGGGTTTTGCTCTTCATTCGGTTCCTTAACTTCTATGTCCTTCTTCGGTTGTGACATCTAATGGTTTCTTGCTAACCCTTTCCACATCTGGCTCCACACCAGTCAATGTGCTCCTTGAGAAAAGTGAGGCTTTTATCATTCCCAGTGTCTAGTTCATAGAAAGCTCAATGAATGTTTGATGAACCCATGAAATAGTAAATGAATGGATGGAAAACAAAAAAAAAGTCCTTTAATGCATCTTATAGCCACAAACCTACAGTATTGGGAAGTACGTAAATTAATGCAGGATTCAGGTTTTCACATAAGGTTTATTAGCATTAAGCCTGTGCAGGTCCATCCCAACATAACTAGTTTAATCAAGTTCCTCTTTTTCTATAGTTTAAAATTACTTTGAAAAATAAGTTGGGAAGGCTGCATAATAAGTCTTAGTGGTTATTTTGCTAATAAGGAGTCTTTCATCTTTCAAAAAATATTTATTGAGTGTCTAATGTTTATCATCTGCTCAAGAGGAGAGAGGGGAAAAAATCTGGATCACTTTGATACTTTCCTTATAGTTTCCTGGAGAGTTGAAAGAAGGAAGTGGACTCTCAAGAAAGGGAAGAGACTGAAGGAAACTAAATACAAATTATGTGTGCACTGGGTATCAGGGAATCACCCTACTCAGTCCTGTTTTTATTGATAGTGCAACCATCCACCACAACTGGGAATTTAGAATGTGGGTTCTACTAATTATAGTTCCCTCTAGTTGGGATTGGTTATTATAATTTTTTGTATTCCACTTAGGTTTCAGGCGATGATTTATTTAGGCATGAAGCTAGGGACAATGTTCTCTCTGCAGAAAATTAATTCTAACATTTCCAAAGGAAGGCCGGMACTATTAGTCTTTATATAACTTTAGTGGTTTTTCTCTTGAATTTTATTTTATCACCAAAATTAAGACATTCTAAATATAAATTAATCAGATGCTAAAGTGTATGTAAGGAAAAAAGTGTTCTTMCTTTACATTTTGGATCATATTTGTAAATTTGCCATATTCACATGTAAGTTCAGAATTTGCTCTCTCTGCATCCTACAATAGGGATGACGGGTTGAACTATTCTAAAGTTTTCATGTGTAGAATGTCCATCACATTTTTAGAATGATTTTTTTAGTGGCATAGATAATAGCTGTACTATGAAAAACAGGAGTCAAACGCAATAATCTTCAACTTATGAGTACAGCAGGGTTCAGCATACTTT